CTCTAAAGTTGGTAAAGCAGAACACAATCTGAATCAGAAAGTAGTAAATTTCCTCTTTTTATTAAGCTGTTTCTTTTCCTTCACAGCCTTATTTCATCTTCTTAGTTAAAGCAATATTGATCACCAAAGAGAATGTCGATCCCAGCAGCAAGGAATAGAGTAAGGGCATTTGCCTCATCACATCCAATAATTATTCTTCCCCAAACAACTTCACTGTGAACAAAAATTCCTTTGATAATGTTGTTACTGATAAACCCTTCCATAATTTATGCCTTTTGGAGAGAGATTTATTACTACAATTCATGATATTCATTTCCAGACAAGGTATGTTCTTGCTGACCTGTGGCAATCAGAAACTCACAGCAATATGGTTTATTTTTAGATGCAGGTGCTGGAAAAATTACCAAAAATTAAAAGTCATCATCATATAGGCATGAAAAGTAAAATGTTCACGGAAAGAAAACAAAATTTTATGAAAGCCATAATATTGACTCCAAATGAAAGGAACTAGGCAAAATTATGTAGTTACTATAATATACAATTATGTTGGGATATATGCAGGTGTTTTGACAGGATATGAAAAACACAATATTGGTAATATACACATTGTGTGAAAACAATTGGCCTTCCTCAAAAACACGTTCACAAGCCTCTCTCACTTTCCATCAAATATAAAATAACATCAAATACAAAAATATCTTGTTACACAGAATATGGAGTATATACACTAACAAAATTCAAATCAAAGCTAGTGGGAAATCTCAACAATTAAAAAGCAATTACCAAAATTTACTTTGTCAGGGTCTAGTCCTCCCAATTGTAAAAACAAATTGAAATAAAAGCTACATAAATATTAACCCTACTTGATAGTGAAAACTACACTTCAAATCACCTTGTTTAATTAGGAGACACTCTATGTTAAGTTCAGAGACATTGGAATACACTAAAATATATAATTGTGAACTCAATTTTTTTAATACTGAAGACCACAGATACATACATCAGATATTTAAAAGCAATTGAAAAACATAGAGTATACGGTTTAGAATATTTCCATCTGTGAGTATATTTTCTAGAAAATGAATGAATATTGACATCAAAATTTTAATATTATTTCTACAGATCTCCATTGAATGAGTAAATTTCATAGAATTTTCTCTATATATAGTATATATGGTTTCTCCATGTGACATCTTTCATGTATTTAATAATACCTGTACATGCTGTATGCTTTCCTACACTGCTTATATAGGCTTTTTCCCCAGTGGTCTCTTGTTCATGTATTTGACACTGTACCAGATGAACGTTTTTCAACATTTCTTACACAGTCACTCCCTAGCATGAATTTTTTGTCTACAGGATGAAGGCGCTTGCATCAAATCTTTTCCCACTCTGCCTACATATTGTTTGACCCAGTGTGCCTTCTTTCATGTATTTGATGGCACTTTTGTGTACTGAGTGCTTTCCCACATTACTTACATACATAGGGGTTTTTCCCAGTGTGAATTTGTTCATGTGTTTCACTAGTTCTCTGTTGGCTGAAGACTTAACACATTACTGATACACACAGAGTTTCTTTTCATTATGACTTCTTTAATGGATTTGAAAATATTTTCATGTAGGGTATTTTCACACATCATTCACATACATAGGTCCCTGTTGCGTGAAACCTTTCATGTTGGCGACAATGACTGAATGTTCTGAATGCTTTCCCACAGTGTTTACACACATAAGGTCTCTCACCTGTGTGAATTCTTTCATGTATGTGACATTCTCTCTTTCGGGTGAAAGATTTCCCACAGTACTTACATACATAAGGTTTCTCACCAGTGTGAATTCTTTCATGTATTTTACAGTCATTCTTTTGACTGAAAGAATTCCCACAATGCCTACATACATAGGGTTTCTCCCCAGTGTGAATTCTTTCATGTACTTGACAACTTTTCTTTTCACTGAAAGATTTCCCACAATGCTTACAAACATAGGGTTTCTCTCCAGTATGAATTCTTTCATGTATTTGACAATATCTCTTTTGGTTGAAAGATTTCCCACAATGCTTACATACATATGGTTTCTCCCCAGTGTGAATTCTTTCATGTATTTGACAATTTCTATTTAGGTTGAAAGATTTCCCACAATACTTACATACATAGGGTTTCTCCCCAGTGTGAATTCGTTCATGTATTTGACAATCTTTCCTTTGGTTGAAAGATTTCCCACAATGGTTACATATATATGGTTTCTCCCCAGTGTGAGTTCTTTCATGTATGTGACAATCATAATTCTGTTTGAAAGATTTCCCACAATGCTTACATACATAGGGTTTCTCCCCAGTGTGAATTCTTTCATGTATGTGACAATCAGACTTTCGCATGAAAGATTTCCCACAATGCTTACATACATAGGGTTTCTCCCCAGTGTGAATTCTTTCATGTATTTGACAGTTTCTCTTTTGGGTGAAAGACTTTCCACAATGCTTACAAACATAGGGTTTCTCCCCAGTATGATTTCTTTCATGTATCTGACAATCACTCTTTCGGGTGAAAGATTTCCCACAATGCCTGCATACATACGGTTTCTCCCCAGTGTGAGTTCTTTCATGATTTTGACAGTGACCATATGTCCTGAATGATTTCCCACAATGTTTACAAACATAGGGTTTCTCTCCAGTGTGAATTCTTTCATGTATTTGACACCCACTCTTTCGTGGGAAAGATTTCCCACAGTGCTTACATACATATGGTTTCTCCCCACTGTGAGTTCTTTCATGACTTTGATAGTGACTGCGTGTGCTGAATGCTTTCCCACATTCCTCACATATATATGGTTTCTCCCCAGTGTGAGATTCTCTATTTCTTTCAAATGAGGACTTCTCAGCAAATCCTTTTCCACATGGCTTACATACACAGGGTTTCTCTCTGGTGTGAGTGCTGTCATGACTATGACACCGCGTGCATGTGCTGAAAGTTTTACCACATTGTTCACATACGTAAGGTTTATCTCTAGTGTGATTTTCTTCAGGTATGTTATAACAAGTCCGTGTAGTGAATGGTTTTCTACATTGCTTACATCCATAAGGGTTCTTCCCAGTGTAAATTATTTTATGTTTGTGAAAGGAATGACAATGAGATAATGCTTTCACACATTCTGTAGTTACATAGGGCTTCTCTCCAGCATGTATTCTTTCATTTGGTTGAATATAATATGAAGACATAAAAGGTTTCTCACACTGTTTGTACCCATATGGACTCCCCACACCATGATTTCTTTCCTGGATTGGAACATAACTGGGTGTGCTGGAGGCACTCACATTTTTCTTACCTACAAATGTTTTCTCCCCAGGATGAGTTTGTTCACTAAGATCAGAGTAAGCTTTCCCACATTGCTCAGACTGACATTGTTTCTCTCCAGTCTTTCTCATTTCATGTTTCTGAAAGGACTGGAAATCACTCCAGGTTTTTCCATGTTCACTACATTTATACAGCGTCTCTTCCAATCTCAAACACTTGTCTGCATCATTTCTGTAAAGGTAAGAGGACAAAAATAACAATCACAATGAAAAACGTCTCCAGATTAATAATTGATCAGGACAAGTTCTCATTTGATGCCTGCTAAGAAATTCTGATGATAAGTTGACCTAATGGCCTGGACCATGCCTCCAAAACCCCCATTCTCATGGGAATGGTTTTCACATGGGAAGATTACTTGGCAAATGTTTGCAAAACACACTATCAAGTTTCATTTTAGGGGATGGGTACATATTTGTGTCATATTGATCATTTTTATATCTTTTCACTCATCACTCTCCCCTTCTCTCCTTACCCTGACCATCTTTCCCATCTCACAAAAGTCAGCCTTTCTGTTTTCTATCATCTTTCCTTTACTTTACTCCCTAAACATATTTTTAGTTTCTCATTTAAAATTTATTTCACTTAACATTATGACATGGAGTCCCATCTAATTTCATTATTTGGCAAATGATAAAAATTGTTCTTTTTGGCTGATTATATAGCATAGTTTTTTCAGTGGTGAGAATTAAATGCAGGTCTTAGGAGGGAATTATATTTCCAGCTTCATTTATTTTTTTTATTTTGAAAGAGATTCTTATTGGTCATTAATATGCTTGGGCTTAACTTCAATTTGTCATCTTACAGACTCAGCTTCCCAGCCTGCAGGCATTATAAGAATGCACCACCATGCTGAGCCTATCCCACATTTTAATCATCCAGGCACCTGGTGATGGGCATCTAGGCTCTTTCCAGAGCTTGGCTGTTCTGAATTGCCTCCAGGACTTAGATATTGGGAATACTCATGGTTGCCCTCTTTTGAAAACTGGAGTTCATGTATCTCTGAAATATGATCACTTTAACACATTTCAGAATATACCCAGGGAAGTACACTTGGATCCAAAGAAAACTTATATTTTTACTTTTTGAGACATCTGTATATTGATTATCATAATGATTCCATTTTACATTCCCATCAACAATATATGAGGTTGCGCAAACGCAAGGACCTGAGTTCAATCCCTGGTACCAAAAAAAAAAAACCCAACAAAAACAATGTATGAGGCTAATTTCTAAGAGTTTTAAAACATGGACAGCTGAATATTCTGGAGGATGTTGTGAAACATCTATTACAACAACCTTAGCACTCACTGCATTTTGAATACTTCTTCCATATTAGCAATTTTCTAGATAATGAATGTCTCATATTCACATGTATACACAGATATTTTAAAGATAAGTTCCTGGCAAAGTTCAAAATTTATCCATTTCATATCTGCATATATACAATACTTAAATGCAGTCTCCTACATTACTATGATGTTGATTATGAAATTTTTTAAACCAATAGAGCAGATAATGTCACTTGTTGCATAATATCAGTAACTCTTTAGTTTCCTGTATTAGAATATTTCTATATTTGATTGTGACATTATACAAAAGGAACCTCTATGCATCTCTGAAAATTTTTGTGAGATTAAATAAATTGGAACACAGCCTCATTTCTTCAGCTTCCTTGATTGTAATATTTCTGCTTTCACATTGACTCTTGAGGAATATTCCTTTTTCTTTTGAGTGAAAATTACCTTAGATTTCTTGAACAATTTTTGTACTGTTCCTCCACTCGCTGGTTACCACATGTTTTTTCTGAATTGTAGACATAGAAATATAACAAGTTACTACATCATTATATAAAAATTAATAGATTCCAGTTAAATAAATGGTATAATATTAACAGGCCTGAGACATTTTTCAAATGTTACAACATTCTACTTAATTAACCTACATCACTGAGGTGGTTAATGAACCTACATCACTGAGTAGGTTCATCACTGAACCTACATCACTCATCAGGAAGGATGAGTTGAAGGCCAGCCTGGTCTACTCAGTGAGTATGATCCCAGCCTGACTCTGTCTCAGAAAATGAATAAATAAACAATAATTTTAAGAAGGGAAAGAAAACAGTATCACTGAGCAAGCTTGTATAAGTAAGAAAATGATGTTATCCTTACGTATAGCAGTCATATGCATACATGTTTCCCACATCACATCTATGTAGAGCTTCTTTTGGGGTGGATTCAGCGAAGCCCATTCTGCCTCGGTAAAGTTCACAGCTACATCCTCAAAGGTCACAGTCTCCTAAAGAATGACAGGTTTCCTGATGGGTCAGACGCACACCCTGAGATATCTCATCTTCTCTCATGAAAAGCCAAACTGAAGATGATTCCTTCAAATATTAGTTCCATGTCTTGGTCATCAAGCCCATTTATATGTAAATATTTTCACGTAGTATTTCCGATGCTAAATTGCAACACATTGCTAAAGTAACAGTGGAATAGTAGCACTGGTTCTCCTTCAGGAACACCCACATTGTACTTGTGCACTGTCTCTAAAGCAGAGCTCATACAGGGAATCTGCAAATCCCAATCCAAAAAAAAAAAAAAACAGGGGCACATAAATATTTAATGTATGGTTCTGATATACCATAGATTATGTCTTTTTTCAAATTACTCACAGTATTCAGTCCAACTTTCTTTGCACTCATGGAGAATTTTGAAACTTGAATCTGGTCTTATAGAAAAAATTGAATATTAAATAAGGTTTATGAATAATTAAAATGCTAAAGGAAAGTTTTCTTGGAGCAAGTTTATGTAAGATCAATGAAATAGGATAAAGTTGGCATATTGTCTTATAGCTCATTGGCACCAAATGGTCACCTTTCACTCACATGTAAGTAATATAAGGGTGGCATAAGGGAAGGTAATGAGGGGATGAATATTAATGAAATATATTATATGTAATGAAAACCAAAATATCACAAAATAATTAATCATTAAATACAAAAGGAAAACTACATCCACATGTGGTGGAATGTGCCTGTAATTCCTGCACTTGGAAGGCTGCAACAGGATGACTGCCATGAATCTGAGGATAGCCAAGTGATCAAGGTCCAGCCTGGGCTATGTAAGAAGTTCAAGGGCAGTCAAGATTACAGAGTGAGATGCTGCCTCCAATTCCTCACCAAAACAGAGCACTAAAAAAACTTACTGTGTCCCTCATTACACACATCATTGATTTGTTAAAACATTATGGCTGTGGGCCAGGAATTAAGCTCAGTGGTACCACATCTGCCTTGCAAGCACAAGGCCCTGAGTTTGATCATCATTACAAAAAAAAATTATGGCTGTACACTACAATAAAAGACTAACATTCAACACCTTGTGAGCAACGTGAAAGCTTGCATAATATACATGAAAGACATTCAAATTCCACCTTTCAGTTTATGACTAGTAGAGAGAATGAGAAATGGACCTCAGGAATGGAAGATAGTGTCCAATGGACCCACAGGTAAATAGAATATTGATTCATGATGGAGCTGGTGTTACACAACCCTGGAAGAAATCATATTGTGTTTCATTTAAGTTTAAGGAAAAACAGGTATGTAATTGGAAATCTGGATCATGTACTCTTCTGTGTACATAAGTTACATACTAAAATGGGAAAGATAAACTTGAATGCCTTAAGAATTGATAGTGAAAAAACAGAAGAGACAGTGTTTTCTCATAAAAAAAATCAGACAGACATCAGAAGTAGAAGGAGAAACTGAAATCTATGGAAATCATAAGAGATAAACAAGAAAATATTTGCTGTGTACACAACATAAAGATTTTGTATAGAGAATAAAGATTAATCTAAAAAGTAACTACAACACATCTGGCTCAAGAGAAACACTGAATATAGAGCAAGATTCAACTCTTGAGAATATCACTAAAGAAAACTGAAGTGTGGAAAAACACATCAGTAGACTTATCCAAAAATGGAGAATCAGCTGCTACATTGCATACCCATCACCCTTACTTTGGAGTTACCAAAATCCACAGGCCACTAACTTCTTTCCAATATCTAGGAAATACATTGTGCTATTATTCCTGGGAATAAATTGACTGTTTTCAAGTAACATTGAAAAATCAGGAACTTCCCAACCAATGGAATGGATGAGAAATACTTTTCCCTTCATTCACATATCAGCACTTGTGAACAATAAGTGAGACAAAAAAATTAAACAAAAAAATAAAAAAAACTCTCACAAAATATTTCCCTGTGCAATATCCATGATAGTATTGAAAACTGAAAGGAAGGAAGCTAAAAGAGTACTACTCATGGAAAATCACACTTGGCAAACTTTGGAAAAGTTGCCAGAGGAGGAGAGTGGTCATCAATAAGGCAAGAACTGTTTGTGACAGGTAGAGTATTTATCACCTGATGTAATACAGTTTTTAATTAAAGTCCTACCTCATTCAGCATGTCTTATCTTGAATAATGTCTACAAACTACCAATGAACCATAGCAATAACATGAGTAATCCTACTTTTCATTTGCACTCCTGCAGGAATTGCATGTGAGTACTTACTTCAAGAAAAACATGTGACTTTAACAAGCAGTCCTTTCTTGTAGTTGTCCTTTACAGCATGATTTCTTCTTCTCTTATTTAAAATGGTAACATAACTAATTTTCATATGATACACTATAAAACTCCATTTATTGACTAATTTTTTCATTATTTTTACTGCTCTGAATATAAGAAAGAGGTAAATGGATGCTTGGGAAGTGATCTAACACTGAATTTAATCATAGATAATGTTAATTTTTAAATAATTTTCAAACACCCTATAATGACTTTGGGCCCATGGGGAAGTGTATGTCAATTTTGGAACTTACCATCATCACAGTGAAACCTAGAGTGGAGGATGCAATTTGTGTGTTTGAGATCTCCTATTTAAGCTTATAACAGATGGCATAACTAGATATCTTAACCACATTCCCATCATTGGGACAAAATAACCAACAACCTCAACTTAAAGGAGTAGGTTTTATGTCGACTCAGTTTTGGTTCATGTTCTCCTGGTTCCAAGGTATAAATTGGATGGGAAAGTGACAAGATGGAGGAAAATACATTCAAAGCATGGTGGCCAGAGAGGAGGGAAAGGTGGATGTAGCTACAGACATGGCCCTAGAAAAGCATCTGCAGCAAATGGAACCTCCAAACAGCACATTGAGATATTGAAAATATCAATGCACAAATCTACTGCTGTACAGGGCCCACAAAAAGCAACTTTCATACTTAATACAAATTTAATGGACACTGTACTATAATATATGGTGTGCTGCTGAAAGAAAACATGGCATGCAACAAAGCCCAGTCTCACCCACACAGAAACCTCATTTAACTCCCAAATCTCCTCTCATTTCTCCTGATCATTGCACAACTGGAGCTGTAGGCACTGAGCTGAGAACATCGGGGTCTTGGCCAGATTAAAATTATCATCCACTGGGCTGGGGATTTAGCTCAGTGGTTTCATCACCTGCTGCACAAGTGCAATGACCCAAGTTCAATCCCTGGTACAAAAAAAAAAATTACCATCCATATAAAGGACCACATGCTTAGGTCTCAGCCCCCCGCACAGGGCTAGGAAGGTCCAAATATGCATGTACCAGTGAAAACTGGCATACAGAAACAAAGATTTCTCAACTCATGTGGACAGGCCCACATCCTGCCAAACTGGTTCTGTCTACTTCCACCCAGAACTTATGCCTCTAACACAAATTCTACTTCTGTCTTTGGGCATTTGGTCTTGCAATCACCTTCTTGGGGAATGAGGTCTCCCAAGTCCTTCCCATGCAACCAGTCCATAGAACCCACAGACCAAAACAGGCTGACCCAGCTTGGGAGTCTCTCAGCAACACACTGGGAGCTTCTGACTTATGTGCCTGACAAAGGAGAATTCTATTCTCTGGCCAACCAGTCTCTCTTGACAGCTCATACAACCCAAACTGTTCTTCACTGATACAAGGCTGCTCCATGTTCTGCTGACTGAGCCAAAGGGAAGAAAAAGATAATACACTATCTGCTTAATGCAGTCCAAATGATAGACCAAACAAAACATTTGCCCACCAAGGCTTCTGCCTAGATCATTGAGTTTACCAACCTGTTGGATCAGTGACTTGAATTAGGATTTGGTCTTAGCTTTGCAGAGCTGCTAACATCTATCTACTTACTGTACTCTGGTGGCTCTTTCTATTTCTTGTCCTAGATGTTGGCATCACAACTCTGTGACTATACTTCCACATTCAATGACATTTAGAGAAAAACACCAAACCCAAAGAAGAATCTCTGCCCAGGCAAATGTTGAACACAATGCAATAGAAGTACTAAGGTAGTCAGAGGGCAGAAAATTGCATGAGACATTCAGCTTCATGGCACAGACTTTCTCACACAGTCTTTTAATCTAATCATCTTCAGTAAAGAAAAACAAAAGCAATGCCAACAGGCAATATAATTATTTACTGAATGAACAAATTGGCATAATATGTTAGTAGTATTACACAAAGGAATCAAGATGGAATTAAAATTTTCAAGTGCCACAGACTGGCAAGTTACTTGAACTAAAGTCATAGGGAAATCCAGAATTCTAAACACCAATCATGGCAGGTAGGCCAGAATGATAGCTGCAATGTAGCCCCACCCTCAATCACTTCCCTATGATGAGGCAGAGAAAGGTAAAAACTTAATGCAATAATTTTTCAAAGTATGCTCTTCCCTCCTCACAGGATGAAAGTATCTCTCCTTTGGCATATTAATTTCACTAAAGAAATATTCTCACCTGACATTAACTCATGTTTAGACTTCATTGTCACATTGGTTTGCTGGAGAGATACCTAGGTTGTTAGTAAAGACATGTCTGAAAGTGTCAAGGAAGCATGACCCATGAGATTACATCAGGTGCATGGCCTGTTCCTCTCAGCCTCTTTTTCTGCTGAAGACTCTCCATTGGAAGGGTGAAGACAATGGTAGGAGCCTGAAGAAACTTAAGACCAGCATCCAAAGGCAATGGCAATTACCAGAGCTCATCCACAGAAAAATAAGACTTATTTTTTCCTTTTTATTCCATCTTGGGTACAAGCCTATTGGTAATTGTAAACCACATACAGGGTGGGCCATCCCTCCTGGTATACAAGCCAGTCTTTCATAGAGAATCACAGAGCTTTACAAATGGCTAGGAGGTTTTTACTGATCAAAGATTCATACCATAGTTAAGCATCACAAACACTGTCTTTTTTTTTTTTTCTTTTGGCTAAACATGCCCTTCACAGATATTCTTCATATATAGTAATTGTTTTCTGAGTCCATCAAATCTTTGCAGGTGACAAAGCAAACATTTTCCATTAAAGGCCCAATGGCAATAAGACTCATATCCTCAGACAGAAGAAATCCACAAAATAATCTGTATGTGAGATTCCTGCTTTCTAACACTCTACAGCTTTTCATAGCTAAGAGTACTTCATGCTGAGCCAGGATTTAAAGCATTAAATAATTTTTATCATTATAAATCAAAGATGTATAAAACTTATGTTTGAATGACAAAATTTATACAAAAATATCAAATGTGAATTGTCCATTTTTTTTCTGTGCATTGCCTCCCTTATCAGTCCAGTTTAGTAGAGGCTGCAGCAGCTCCATTCCTAGTGATTCACACTTCTATTCATCTTTTGAAAACTATTTCTGTACACCCACTCAACTAACAGACAGAGTCAGCTCTATAATAAATCCTAAGCAACTCCGAAGTTTCTCTCCCTTTCAAAAAGTATAACTGCTCTAAGTCTGAATTCTTCTGAAGCTGAATCACACCACTCAATTGAAATCATAAATATGAAGCTGTTTTACAGGACCTATGATGACATTTCAGATGTATACTACAGACAGACTTGGTGGGGCTGACCCTAACTCTAACCTTTATGCCAACTCCTTAGCTCTGTGTCTGCTCCTTGAAGATTTCTATTGTGTCCCCCTTGCCCTGCTGATATAAGCCAAATAGTATGATCAGAGTAGGACACTTAACAATAATAATAATAACAATAATAATAAGATATTATAATTACATTATAATTATACCAATGTAAAAAAAAATACACAAAGGACAAAAAGAAAAAAAGAAAAAGAGATAAAAAGAATAAAAGAAAAGACTACATAGTAGAATATTAAGAGGACTAAGCGACCAACAATAAAGGGTACTACTAAAACGAACAACACTAAGAAAGAAAACAAAAAAAAAAACCCAAAGAAACCCAGAATAGTCACCAAAGCTCACCAAAGCCCCAGACCGCCGCAGAAACAGAGAGAAACACAGCTGACCAAAAAACCACAATACACCAGCAGGGGCACACAGACACAAAGCTACAGAATGCAAACGAACCCAAACCCAACAAAACGGAAAAAAAACAAAAAAGGACACAGAAACAAACACAACCAAAAACTAGGAAGAACGAGCTAACGAGAGACAAGGAAGAAGCAAACAAAGTCAAAGCTAATTCCGGGCAAAACACACCAAAAGACACCCCATTCCAACCCACTCCCACACAACACCACAAAACAGCACCATGGCGGGCCCCCAGGATCCCCCAAAATCAGCTCAAAGCAACTAGAAAGCACAAAAAAAGACAGAAAAAGGAGCTCCAGAACCCCACAAACACTCACAAACCATACAACTGCACACAATGAGACACCAAGAGACAGCAACCCCCCCCCACCCAACCTCAGCCAACAGGACGCAAAACCCCAGACCGCACCGCCCATCAGCGCCGATCCCATCCCCACCCACCGCAACCCACAGGAACAAAAAAAAAAAACAGAAACAAGCAGCAACCAACAGCAACGAAGAACAACAAGGAAAAAAAGGAAAACACAAGAAATTCTCAACCCCGCGATATCAAACGAAACGAAAATCAACAAGAATGACAAAAAAGGTCAGTAACCCCCGCTACTGCGACCTGCCAGAACTCCCCCGGTTGCCGGGGGGCGGTGGTACCGGAGAGGAAACAAAGCACCTCCCACCACACCACCAGCAGGCCAAAAAACCAAGCAAAAAAACCAGCACACCACCCCCTGGCTTAATAAAAGAAGCAGACGACTCCTCAAAAAAGAGAACAACAAGTCTCAGAAGAAGGCACCACCAACAACCTACGAAAAAACAATCAACCCACAGAAAAAAAAAAAAAACACAAGCCAGGACCGACAAGAAATAAAATAAAGAGAGGGAGGCCAGCGAGAAGGAAGCAAGAAGAAGCATTCACAACAACAACAATCAATCCCTCTCTCTGTCTACTCATTTTCATCCAAAAAATGAATATATGGCCCCCAAGAGGAATACAGTAATTGAGTAAATGAAGAAATAAGAGGTGCATGACAGCAGTATTCTGCAGAAGAGTAAAGATGAAAGAAAAACATTCCAACTCCCTCAGAAAAACTTCATATTTTATCTAGGGCCATAAAAAAAATGCCTGAATCCAGAAGATAAACATATAGAAAAGCATGAGGGCCAGAAAGAATGCTGAAAAAGAGCCCTGCACTTCATCGACCTGATCAGTTTCTAGTAATGAGGCTGGGATACAAAAGGACTTTAGACTATAAGGTCCCCATGCCCTGTAATGGCCCATCACTGTTTGAAATTCTCCACCTTTCAACATGTATATTCCTAAAAGAAAAATATTGCATTGAATAGGACATATACCCTTATTAATAGCTTGTTTGGCTTGAGAGCTGTGTGAGATATTAATAAAGCACACTTCTAGGTGTGCAAGGTTGAGTCATGATAGTGTGACCTGAAGGACAAAACCTGGCCCCTGGCCCCTTCCTCTGGCCCTCTTTCCTTTACTTTGGTTCCTGGCTCTCATAAAATAGTTTTCTTTTTCTTCATTTATATACCATCATGTTTCTGCATTAGAAGTAAGCAAATGAAACTTGATAGATCTCCCACTACCTCAGCAGCCATTATGTAAAGTAGCTGCTCTCTTCCTATTGTGCCTTGCACCCTCCCCTGTGTGACATCACACCAAGATGGTTGCTCCCACCAAAGAACAAACCTTTCTTCCCAGCATGCCCCTGTTCCCACCTACAGAGTAACCAAATACTTGCCTACCTCCTACCAGCTAGTGACATCACTGGCTCCTCCATTCCCTACTGACTACCTCACTCAACCCCACCTCAGCTCCTACAAACCTCACTCCAGTCTCTATAAAAGACACTCCCTGCCCTGGCCATATTGCCTTTGTCTCTCCTTTGTTCAGAGACATTCTGGTAGATCTGTTCCAGCAATAAATGCTTGTTGTGACCTGGTCTGGTCTTGGTTTTTGGCATTTTTACCTGACAAAACTGAAATCTTTTAAACAATAAGACATAGAAAATTTTTGTTCTTAAGCTCTAGATGTTAGGTATTTTTTCCTGTAATAACAAAAACAACAAAATACCATTACAGTTCATGTTCACATTAGGTATCTGTTCTCACTAAGCTTCCAAATACCTCAATTCTTTCTTCAGAAAACTATATAAATGAGATTTTATGCATGAATATTTTAAATAGATTTTTTGTATGTATATATTTGAGTTGAAATGGTCTAATATCTTCTTTAATTTCATCTGTGACCCATTGGTCATTGAAGAGGGTATTTTTAAATTTCCATGTGTTTATGTAGTTTTTGTGGTTTAATTTGCCATTTATTTTCTATTTCATTTCACTGTGATCTGATAATATGCATATTATAATCTTAATTTCTTGGCATTTACATAAGAATGTTCTGTGAGCTAGTACTTGGTCTACTTTGGAGGAACTCCCATGTGCTGAGAAGAATGTGTATTCTAGTGAGTGGAACACTCTGTAGAAATCTATTTGTTAGGGTAATCTGAATCATGACCAATACCACCCCACTGATTCAGGCAAAGTTGAAGTAAGAAATGGAGTTTATTTTAAGCCAAAGGCAAAAGGAATCTTGGCCTCAAGTGTGGGGTGAGGGAAAATTTTATAAAGTAGTTTAGGTAGGGGAGTGGAGGTCATTAGGGGAGAATGGATATTTTTGAGACTTGAGAGGGGGAGGTCTGTTGGAGTACAGGATGTCTTTTGTGGTTGTTGGGCATCCATGCTTATAGGTGTTGCTGGGTGTGGTGGGCATACTTTCCTCAAATTTATGTTCTGGCTTTCTGTTGTTTTACTTGTCTTAAAAGTATGAAGAGCTCAGTGTAAAGCTTCTGTGAGATGGTTTCACTGTTCTTCCTGTGTTGGAGGCTTGACATTATTAAATCCATTTGTTCAAAGGTGTAGTTCAACTCTGATATTTCTTTGTTGATTTTACATTGAGTTAATCTGTCTATTTGTGACAGTGGGGTGTTGAGGGGCCCCCTTATTATTGTATTAGTACTTATCTTGATTTTTCATACTTTTAGTTTTTTTATAATTGGGTGGATCACTAGTTGGTGCATATATATTTATGATTGTTTTCTCATCATTTTGGATTCTTTCTTTTTAGCAAGTATGTAGTGATCATCTTTGTCTCTTCTTTTTTATTTTATTTTTTATTTTTTGTTTTATGGTACGAGGGGTGGGGGCATCAAACTCCAGACCTTGCACTTGCGAGGCACGGACAATGCCACTGAGCTAAATAGTGAAGCCCTTTCGGATCAGTCTTGTCTTGAAATCCACTTTGTCTGGAATTAGAATAGCTACTCCTGCTTTGTGTCTGGGTTCCTGCTATCTGGAGTATTGTTTTCCATCCTTTGAATGGCAATCTATTAATTTCTTCTTGACTTAAAGAAGTTTCATGTATACAGCATATTGTTGGATCTTATTTCTTAAACTATTCTGCCAATCTATTTTTTTGATTGGTGAATTGAGACCATTTACATTGATATCATTCAGAATATTTGCAGTGCTGGTTTTGTGGTTATAAACTTCTTCAGATCTTCATTATCATGGAAGTATGTATTTCTCCATTAATTTTGTAAGATAGTTTTGTAGGGTGCATCAATCTGGGTTGGAAGTTGTTTTCTTTCAGGGCTGGAAATACTTCATTCCAACCTCTCCTTGATTTTAGGGATTGTGTTGACAAGTCTGTTGTGATTCTGATGAATCTTTCTTATACATGATTTGTTCCTCTTAACTAACAGCTTCTAATAGTTCATTCCTGTGTTGAATATCTGGAATTTTGACCCTTTATTCCTTCATGTAGTTTTTTTCTGATCATTGCTATTTGGAGTTCTGTATGTGTTACTTATCTGTATGTCAAATTCTTTTTTCACTCTGGGAAAGCTTTCTGCTATTACTTCTGTGAACATTATATTTTGGCATTTTTATTAGGTTCTGATTTTTCATTGATTCCAACTAAACTTATATTAAACTTCTTTGCATCATCTAGCAGATGTTGGATTAATTTTTGATGGTCCCTTATTATTTTTAAGAAATTTCCATTGATGAGCACCAGTTACAAATCTGTCTTCTAGAGGTGATATTCTATCTGATAATCTATCTTCATATTGATTGTGAAACAGATTCTCATTGAATCTGCTGCATGTACATTCAATAGAATTTTTAAATGTCCTGAATTTTTATGTGATTCTGTTTTATGGAATACATTTTTTTCTTTGTTTGGCATTCATAGTTTCCATGTCTTTCCTAAGCTTCTCTGCTTTTTTATCTCTTTCTACTCTAGATTCACTCATTATTTCATTCATTTTGTTCATCATGTCTTTAATTACCTGTGTAATTATTTCTGGTTTGACTTTGTCAAGAGATGTATTTATCTGCTTTGTTGCTTTTGCTACTACCATTTTAGAAAACTCAGCTGGGTACCTTTTGATTTCTTGACCTTAATGCCCCCTGGATTTGATTTGGAGGAGTAAGGATTTTCAGGTGAATTTTGCTCCCATGTTTTCTTATTTTTTTCTTAAATTTGTTTTCTGTATGAAGTCTTATAAATTGCTTGTGATATGTGATTTTATTACTAGTCACAAGAACTCTTCAGGTAATGAGTCTTTTCAGAAATGTTTTCCAAGCATAGCTGGCTTTTGACCTTTTGAGTCTTTCACAAGATCTGGCCTCTTCTATTTATTAGTGACTATAATTTGCA